GTGTGTGTGTATGTGTGTGTGTAGGCGTGTATATAAATTGTAAATGAATATATCTTGCTATATTTTTTGATATATATGTACAGTGAATCCATACAATCAAAAGACAAATTATTCAACTTTTATGAAGATGTACTATAATCTGTACATTACTAGTTAACGCTGCAAGAAATATAAATAAAAAATATATAAATTTCGCCTTTTTGTTCAATAGTATATCATATAATAGATCATATAATAGCATAGTTCACACAAGCATATAAAGAAACTTACAAATTAAGAAAATATAAAAATTATAAAATTACATAAAACAAAATCAACTGTATCTATTTTTGAAGAGCTCTCGAGGTCAGCTATGAGAATATGTAATAAAAAATGGGGATTTCCATTCAAAAAGACAAGTTGTCTTCTATATGACCTTGGCAAAGTCACTTAAACTGATAAGATCAGTAAATAGACCTTTTGAAACCCTATCTCTAACATTTTTTTCTAAAATGTATCACTGATGAGATATTTGACTGTTTCCATTTTTGAAGAACTCTATAGAATCCTGAAGAACCCCAATTTCTGTCAACATTAAGCTCAGGATCTATCGATAGAACTTGCTATATTATGCTAGTAAATTGGCAGCAGAAACCAATGATCTGGGCGCTCGGACAATCTGATGGCAATCTGATTGCAAATCCTGCTTAGTTTCTTTCAATTTGCTGCTATAGCATAACAGCAGGTTTGGTCACCATCATATTTTTGGTGCTAACATCAGATATAGATATTATAGACTTTATATGAAATTTATTGCCTTTTAAATATTACTAACTCAAAATCTGTCTATGCAAGTTTAGCTGTGTGGGATATTACAGAAACAACAAATAAATATATCGATTTGCAGTTCAAAATATGCAAGAAGTCATTTATTATAAAAAATTTTTATTTTAGTAATTTTCAATTCAAATACATTTTTTTGTTAATGAATGCTTTTCATTCAGTAACAAAATTGGCAACAAGTCAATTTTGTTTTTTCTATTTTCTATTTAACTGTTAATTTATATTTAATTTAACATAATTGATTAATTAGATTAATCACAGCTGATATGAATCTAATTTTTTTCTTCAATAAATGTCAATTAATACATTAGTAATGTTAAAATGATAGAGATGAACTACATAGGAGTCAAAAAATTTAAAAGATTAGAAATAAATTTTAATTGCATATATGTATATGATAATACAAATTTGTAAAAATAAAATTAATGAAAGTATAAAAAATTATAAATGAAGGAGTTTTACTTTGCTTAACTGCCAATTTTACTTAATTTTTGTATAAAATTGCATGATTTTTATGTACAAAATATCTTATCTTTATAAGTGATAAAATATTAAAAATAGTATATGAATAAAACATTAAATACATTTTTTGAAAATGTTTTGGATTAAAGTTATTTTGTTTCAAGGAGAATATATTATGTTGATTATGATCTTAGTTAGTATACATTCAATATCATATTAGTCATTAGTCTTCAATTTAATAAATAAAATTTAATTAAAAAAATAAATAATAGATTAATGAGTCAAGTAACCATAGTTATTTTTTCTATTATAAAAATACAGACATACATTTATTGTAAAAATTATAAATATTTCAATTGTTTATGAGATCATCTTCAATGTAGTGATAAAAATAAATTAATTCAAATAAAAATACAATATTGTCAGAGTTCTATCCACATATAATTTTTCAATTGCCTTGAATGTGTCGCAAATATAAATCATTGCTGTACAAATTATATCGTTGAGTCTCGGGATATAAAATTTAAGTCAAGTGTGACATCGAAACATTGACATAAATTCCCATTCTGAACTTCACACTTCAAACAATAGATATGTTTGAGAACAAAGATGTTTTATGTGCTTTTTAAGGATACAAATCTAATTTTCTTATATAAATTCCTTTATAGTCTTAAATAATCAATTTTCATATAATGTTACATGAAAATATATTTTTTGTATTTAACACATTTACTAGGACCAGATGATCAAGCGGATCAATTTCAGCTGATAAGATATACATAGCACTCATTTAATGAGTATCTTTTCTCTTGCTTCACGAAACTAGAAGAAATTAGACATCTCACTGTTAATTCGATCTTTTTATCAGCATGAATATATATTAAAATTGTATAATTCTTAAGTCTAGCATCAAAAATATTTGCCATTTATGATAATAAAAATGATTTTCATTAGTATAAATATTCAATAGAATTTTATACGCCTCATTTTTGTTTTTGAATATTTTTGGAAAAAAAGAAAATATTTTTCGCTTCTAAATACAATTAATAAAAATATACAATTTTTGCTATATTATCTGATGGTTCTACAAATACCAATAGTTCTGCAAATCCAGAATGTCTCCTGTGATTTGATAATCACAATTGACAATCGAGATTCCTAATTCAGATAGATGTAAAATATAAATAGCATTCTCATTCAAACGGCAAACAAAGTAGCTTCCCTTTCCTCCCTTTCTCTCCCCCCATTATCTTCCTCCAATCTCCCATCTTTCTCCCTCGCCCTCACTTCTTTTATTATTTCTATCTTTCTCACCGTTCATCCAGGTATTGGTGTGTTTGACCGCGACGTTATCCTGAAAACGCTTCATTGGCTTGGTAGAGATCTTCGAGTATAGATTTGACATTGCCATGACGTTGTCACGTTTGAACGATACCGTCACTCTTTCTCTTCTCGTAATTTCTTTTTGCACGCGCGACACACCGTTCCAAATTTCAAGAGACTGTGCGTCGTCGGCTAGGCGGCCGCCATTTTCTATACATACGGGCGCTGGTCAAACAGCGCCGCCAGCCGTCAGTATCACTTCAGTCCTCAGTCATATCGGTCGATACACATCGAATGATGAAAGTGGAAGGGGAACATGCATAAAAAAATATTTGTTACACACACATATATATATATATATATATATATATATATAATAAATAAAG